TAAAACTGTGGTTGGTGCAGATTTGGAGAATCAGACAGGAAACAGCTACAGAGACAAACTTTATTTTAGATGAAAATAAATGTGGGATCCCACATGTTTTATGTCTTTGTGTCTATTTGTCACCTCATGATTCATTTATAGCAAACATCTCTTCTAATGCTCTATTTCTCTTCTCTGTCTGGTTTAAGTCATTGGTGCAATTTACGATAGTCGGTCACAAGATGTAGTCTGTGTGTCATAGTCATTTTTGACACATGCATTCCCTGTTAAAGCTTTTAATTAAGAGGTGTCTCCTCCCCAGTCGAGGGTTAAGCCCTATGAGGCACAATGTGATTTGTGAATATGGGCTTTTCAAATACATTTCGATTTTTCATTCCAGGGTGAGTAGGGTTGGACATAAGGGCCAAAAACTATATCAGGAAAAACATTTTCATTTTAGTCGTCTGATAATTATTATGCTAAATGTCACAATATTATTATTTTTAAGTTCAACATTCTTCTCCAGAGTGAAGGTTGTGGTTTTAAACTCTTCTTCTCAAAGAAACGTTCCATCAAACGACCTTGTACCTAAAACCGGTTTTTGAAAAATTCTGCAAACACACAAGTGCAAGCAGAATACAGGCAGTTGATAAAACTCCAAAAACCTTCAACCTGAAAGTCAAACTGCAAACTTTGAATATTTATATCTCTGGAAGATGCTCGTCATGCCAGTCTTTGGGAAAGTGTGCAGCCGTCTCTGAGCTGAATTCCTCCAGGTTCATCCGCCCTGTTGTGACTTGTTCACTCCAGTCCTTCTGATATGTTGACTAACACTCATTAAAAATTACTACACACATCCACAGGGATAAATACAAGGTGTTAAAAGTAGTTGTGAGACATCGGTGCAAGTTTGGTAATTGACAGTGAATCTGGTTAATGAATCAATGTCATTTAACAGAAAATACGTTACGATTATGTACATTTATTTTGTTCTCACGAAAATGAAGTAAAACAAATTATATAATTTGTCAATTAATAAGGAAGATAAATTGAATATTTGTGAGTGTTAACCTCACAACTATAAAGGACTTTGTGTTTTCTTCTTTGTATTTCTTTAGATTACGCATAAACTACTCAACCGATTTCTGTAAAATGAGGGATATGACATGACCCAAGAAAGAAGTCATTACATTTTGTTGGGGATCTGTGGGCACATAAAAATCACAAGAGAACATTTTTCAACATTTTTGTTTATTTCTCAAAGCATGGATCTTGCATCTGGTATATTTAGGGACTTATGAGTGTGTGCAATTTGGTGCAGATCAATAATAAAAATCTAGTGGATTTAAATGTGGTTGGGCCTCGGCGGAGGTCAGATCTAGTCAGTCTAGTTTTCGTTGTGACATTGATTGAAACACATTGAGACATTTCTTTACACACTCTCTAAATAGTTTCACCTTATTAAATCTTCAGGTTGCATTTGGAGATTTATCACAGATCTTACAGTTCTGCTTATTTTTAAAATGATTTATATTTGAGACTACTTCATCTTGTGTATGAGGAGATGTTGTGGTTTGACACATTTTCTTAATGTTGAGTCTAATTCAGTGAATTCATGGTGCATGTAATGTTTGGTTAATGAACGAGACGGAGCCACACAGACGGAGATTGGGGATTTGTGTTGCACAGGTTCTGCAGTGAGGCCTGAAAATATGAATTTAATACGACAAATACAAGTTAAAAAATAACCACTCCGTGTGAAGGCAACACATTCTGATAATTGTGTCATAAAGTTGCACTGCAGATCTTCCTATTAGCAACTGTGATTTTTTTTTTTACATTTACAGGCACAAAATCAAGGTCTTAGGAAGGATTTTCTTTTCTTGAGACACCACAACAATTTTATCAATGTATTTATCATCTATTACATGGCCCATGAAGTCGTTCTGCTTTTCAGGAGACTTTACTTTCATGCTCCAGATCAGCTCAGAAACTTGTTGACTTCCACTTCAGATGTGTTAGTGCTTTGCTCCAAGCAGGTTTGACAGGATTTTACACGGTGAAACCTTTGGACTCCCTCCCCCCGCCTCGACTCACCTGCTTGAGCTAAGCACAGAGCTGTGACTCACACTTGACGTTTCCCTCTTGTTCATTAACAGTAATAGACACTGAAGCTGTAACTTTCCACCTTTCAGCCCAGTCTCAGATGAAGAATTTGTTCCCGTAAAAAGTTAGGAGATTTTGGTCTGTGTTTCAGAACATGACGGTAGCTTCACAGGTTTCACTGTTTGAGAATGTAGCTGTGCAGTTGACCACAGGCTGATACATTCCTAAAATACACAAGTACCTACTTGCTGTCTGCAGCCGTCACTTATCTTCAGTTGATTATCTCCTCTGGAACAGAGCCACAGCGTTTTTATCCTGTCCAAAATGAATCAAAAGTGTCCTCTGTCTGTCTGTCTGTCCTCCAGGACAAAGACTGGGACACGTCCGTCCAGTTCCTTCCTGCGTCAGATAACAAGAAGTTTGAGAAGAAAAAGGGTCCTGGAAAAGTCGGCGCTGTGATCGGTGTGATCATCTTTGCTGCCGTTGTTGCTCTTATGACCGGACTGCTGGTCTGGCATTTCCACTGTAAGTACACCTACCCCCCATTCAGTAAAGTAAATGTGTCCTTACGTCAAATGCAAAATGAAGAATACAGACTTTGCAGCCAAGATGGCTAAAGTCATTCAAGGAATCTGTCTGTCAGCGTCCTGATATGAGTTCAGGATTTTGTTATAGTCAACATACTGCAAACACAGAGAAACTGAGTAAACAAAGATGGAAAAAAATCACTTAGGTAACAAGAATATGATACTTTACATTATATGCAAAGAGCTCAGAAGTGCTTACTTGAATTTGTCACACGTGTGTTGTTGTGACAACCATATTGTTTTTATTGTTTTTAGATGTGTATCTAATATTTCTAAGGATTTGACCAGATAATAGTTTTCTAGTTAGTTGGATAGAAAGTTTTTGAAAGGATTTATTGCACAGTGTTAAGAAATGTTTCTGAAATTACAGGATCCATATTAAAATACTCTTTTAGTCTCCTGGTCGCTGGGCCAATACTCTGTATTTCATTGAAATCTCTTAATGGCAGTTGAGATATCCAGTTAACAAACAAAACCAATAGTTGAAGTCTTGAGTGCAGGTAAAATATTTATACACGGATCAAAGTAAAGGAAATGTGTGCATAAATATTTCAGCCTTCTTTAAGTTCCCTTTAACACATAAGTACCCATGTTTTTGTTAAACGATAATGTTCAAAGGTTCAAAGTTCGAGCTCACATGGCGCTTAAGTTACATCAGTTGAAATATCTACAGCAGAGGGATTTAACATTGAAACGAATCGCAGCGACAAATAAACAATAAATAATGATGATGTAAAACTGCAGACTACAACACTTAACATTGTGTGTGTGATGCTGCAGTCCGTAAAGATGTGCGGGTCAAGAGGATGTACAGCGGCTCCATGCGGATCACCAACCAGGTGTTTGAAAACTCCTACGAGAACTCAAACAGCTCCGAGTTCAAGGCGTTGGCGAAGCAAGTGACGTCCCAGGTAAGAGCTCACTCAGGCCTCCGAACCCCCGCCTCATCCTGAGAACTTAACATGTCAAACAATAACTTTTCACACTGTTGTCGTCTCTTTCAGCTTAAAGCCATCTACTCCAGGAGTCCACAGCTGGCCAAGTACTATGTCGGTTCTACAGTTCAAGCTTTCAGGTAAGACACTGAGAAACAAATCTGTTTTAAGTTAGCATACATGTATCTGTTCTTGTTGCTCCTGCTTGTAGAGTATCATGTTTCCATTTCCATTTCCAGCAGGATATCTCAAACAGGTTAAGGAACAAGTGGCGTTTTTTGTCACGGATTCATGCAGATCAAAAAGTACCATCATTTGAAACACATTAAACTTCGAAGTTCAAATTATTGTTGTTGTATGAGCTCAAATTATATTAGTCTGTAATTATAAAAACACCAAAGAAATGTTTGTGTATAGAGCAACAGTAAAGTCAAGTAAGATCATCAAAAAATGTCCTTTTTCTAAGGCCCAACAGTCCCCTAATGAATCCACATTTAAATTCACTAGATCTGTTTTTATTTTTATTTGGATCTTCACCAAATTGCAAACACTCAGTTTTATCCTCAAGATCCATAAATTATATTCTCTGAGAAATGTCAAAAAAACAACAACAAAAAAAAGTTCAAAAAATATTCCTGGACCTGCACAAAAAAAAAATGCATTCTTCCCTGGACATACTTCACCTTTTACCTATTTTCATCTTAATTTAAATGTAAACGGTGCAATTTAAATTCAATGAAGCTGCACAACAAGCCCTATCTCACAATGTTTAAAAAGTTGAAAAAAGAATTCCTGGATCTGCCCCATTGTATGAATCCACATCCCATTTGTTTCTTGTGCCATGTGACATCCTTCCACCAAGTTTTTCTTAACAGTTTAACATTACTGACCAATCACCAGATTACATCATTTAATACAAGACAGATAAAAACCTTGATGTACCTGCACAGATCAGTGGGATCCTTTTTATTACAGTGATGATGTGTTTTTAACAGTTTATTCCTGGTCTTGTTGCTCCTAGTGAAGGAAGCGTCATCGCCTACTACCTGTCGGAGTTCGCAGTCCCAAGCGGTCAAGAGGCAGCGGTCGACAACGTCATGTCTTCAATGGAGAAGCTGGTGGACAAAGAGCAGCGCACCCTGCACAGACCTGGCAACTCTCTTGTCCTCGACGATGTGGTGTCTTCAGGTAGAGTCAAACTGCCGTCGTCAGTTGTTCTGTCTGGTTGTTGTTGTTGTGTCCACCTCCTCATATGAATAACGTGTGTGTCCTTTTTCTTTTGTCATCTCACAGTACTTGATTCTCGCCTCTTGTTGACATCATTCAGCAGTAAGTGATCAGAATCTGTTGGTTATAATTGTATTTGTATTCAGAGAAGTGCCCAACTGCAGAGCTGCGACAGTGTAAACTTCTCTAACCGTCTCTTGTTTCTGCCTCAAAAGAGTTTTACAGATATTCAGAACATACAAAGACCAATCACATAGGACAGATCCAGTCCCCGGGCTTCCCCAACAGTCCTTATCCCCCCAACACCTTCATCCAGTGGCAGCTCAGAGCGGACCCCAACTATGTCATCAAGCTGGAGTTTGACACCATGAATTTGGAGGAGGACTGCAGGAACGATTTCGTCAAAATCTATGACTCCCTGGTGGCCATCGAGAGCCGCGTCATGGAAGAGTAAGTTTGCAGCTTTAACTCTCCTCCTTTTATTTCCATACACACACTGTCCATGCTTTTAGATGTGGACTTAATCTTGTTTGAAATGTAAGGCCCTCTGCTGGTCAGATTCTTTGCAGTGAAACGTTTTCCTTGACACAAAGGTGCAGGGGCCTAAAGTTGTCGAGGTTGAGCCTCATGCCAGAACAATAATTCTTGCAAAATAACAGTATAGTCTAAATCTTGGAGCATCTCAGCTTAAAAGAAAAAAACCTTGTACTTAGTAGTCAAAAGAAATAAATAATCTGAATTTAGCTTTTGGTCAATTAAACTCAATTTGTAGCAAAGGCACCAGCATCGTAATATTAAATTGTAATTTACTTTATTTGATAATTAATCAATCATCAACATTTTTACTCTCAAATGGAGGATGTGTATTCACAACTGTTACTGTTGTTGTGGAAGAAGTGTGGGCTCTGAAAAGTCGGTCAGTCTGGAGCGTTGCTGGTTTACACGTGTGTCGAGAGGGACAATAAAGTTTGTTGCACAGACTGAACGTTAAAATACATCTTATTACATGGTGTCAAAGTTGAGATAAAGAAAACTATCGGCAAGGATAAAGAAAGTTTCAACCACAGGATGGTTTTTGCTTCGAGAGAACCTGAACAGCTTTTTAGACACATCACATTTAGAATTTTCAAGAAAAGCCCACCTGTCATGTCAATCAGAAAATATAGAATTTAGTTTATTGATGTTGTCTGTTTGTTTTTCATTCAACAGGATGTGTGGTTACTATTCTCCCAGTGAACCTCTGACCTTTCTATCCTCTGGTAATGTCATGCTGGTGACGATGGCCACAAACGAGAGAGCCAACTACCCAGGTTTTAGAGCAAAAGTCTCACAAATGCGGAGCGGAAGTAAAGGTTGGAACTGATGTTTGTCATTGTAACAAACTACCTACTACTATCATGTCTAATGTATGTGCAATACTTACACGTGTCCCATTGTGTAACAGGCACAACGTGTGGCGGCCAGCTGAAAGGCGAAAAAGGCACCTTCTCTTCTCCCAACTTCCCAAATTACTATCCTCCCCGAATGTCTTGCCAGTGGTCAATTGAGGTGAGATGACGCTTTGCGGCCGTTAAACATGTTTCGCACACGTTTTCTGAACGCCTCCTCAGAAGGTTCACGTCATTACGTCTTAACTCTTATCGATCATTTAGGTCCCTGTTGGAAAGGCAGTGAAGGTGACATTCAAGAAGTTCCTCTTGTCCGAGCCTGGGCAGAAAAACAGCAAAGACTGTCGTAAAGACTACCTGGAGGTCAACGGAAAGAAGTGAGTCAATGCTTGTGTGCTTTTGGTTTAGAAACCCTAACTAGGTTTACACAACAGAGCAGACGTGTCACCTCTTGCTCATCTCCTCCTCAGGCTGTGCGGAGAACATCCCGACGGCACGGTAACGGAAACCAGCAAGACCAACACGATGAGTGTGGTGTTTTTCTCCGACGCCTCCTATGTGGACCGAGGTTTCAACGCAACGTATGAGACCATCGACGTCAAAGATCGTAAGTGACTTGGCTTCACCCAAGCAGATATGATTTCTTAACATGGTGAAAAGTGTATCTAATATTTTCACCCTGTCACCCGCAGCTTGTCCGAAGCAGTTCATGTGCAGCAACCAGCGCTGCGTTAAGACAGATCTCAGGTGTGACGGCTGGAACGACTGCGGAGACATGAGCGATGAGTTGAACTGCAGTAAGTGCAATAAACTAATGCTGACAGCCAAATTGAGTTCGAGATGTGATAATAATTAACTGTGTTTTCCTCCAGAGTGCAAATCAGATAGTATCAACTGTAAAAATGGACTGTGCAAGCCTATGTTCTGGAAGTGTGACGGCGTAGACGACTGTGGAGACCGCACAGATGAGCTCGACTGTGGTAAGGTCCATCACGCTGACGTAAGCATTGTTTGTTAAAATACGTTTTCTCATGGATGATTCTTTGCTTTTCAAGGTGGGTGCAAGTCTGGACAAGTGACTTGTAAGAATGACAGGTGTGTCTCTGAGAAAACTCGCTGTGACGGGAAGGACGACTGCGGGGATGGGTCCGATGAGCTTGACTGTGGCAGATGTAAGAAATTTGAAAGAAACTTCTTTTTTAAAGTTCCAAAGTGCTTCTAGCTTCTTCAATAAAATAAATCAAAATCCACCCAGAGATGAAAGTTTTTTTACAAGGTTTTTTTGGCATTGCTGAGTTCAGCTGGTCGGTCAGTCCAGAGTAACTAAAGTTAGAGGAGATAAGTTCTGTTAATGGCAAAGATATTTTCCTCACATCATCATTTACTCAATATTTTTATATGCAATGCATCAGGTAACTATGTGAAATATAACAGTGAACAGTTACAGGAATTATCAACCAGCTCTGAAGTCCCACATTTGTTTCAGCTGAAATATTATTCAATGTTTTGCTTTAATCTCAAAACACTTGTCATCCCTGGTTCCCTGCAGCAGAAGGTGGAAAAACGTTTAGTGTTCTAACAAAGCTAAAAGGAGAAGGTTTATTACATTTGTCAAGTGGACACAAACACTGTAAATAGCCATCAGAAGGTAAAACGGGGTCAGAGGTGTGATTTGTAGTTTGTTGTGGAGTTTTTTAGCCCACAACAACTTTTTCAAACAACTTCAACTTCAGTGTTGATGTAAAATGATCTCTTCAGGTTAAACATGTAAAAAACAGGTGTAAGTGACCTCATTCCACCTGCTCGGTTTTTCTCTTTTCACAGTGTTATCTTGTTCTGTTCAATAAGATATTGAAAATAAAGTAACAACATAATTAATGTTTGGTTCTTCTTCCCTCCTCTTTCTCTGCAGCTTCTGACATCCACTGCACTGATCTTACTTATAAATGTAAAAACAGAAAGTGCATAAGCAAAGTGAACCCAGAGTGCGACGGCACACAGGACTGCGACGACGGCTCTGACGAGGAGAACTGTGGTATGTCCCAATCCAAATCTAGTGTGTCCGATTAAAACGAGGCCATTATCTCCGTCTGCATTGTTTAGCTTGCGTGACAAAAAAAATGTGAACCTCTGCCCGCTTCAGAAACTGACAAGCTGCAACAAGCGTGTTCTGTAAGTGATTGATTGTTTCGCTCCTCAGACTGCGGGAGGAGCATGTTCAAGACGTCCCGTATCGTGGGCGGCCAGGATGCAGAGGAAGGGGAGTTTCCCTGGCAGGTCAGCCTCCATGTGAAAAATTACGGCCATGTGTGCGGAGCATCTGTCATCAGTCCGCGCTGGCTAGTCACCGCTGCTCACTGTGTGCAGGACGACGGCAAGACGAGGTAGAATCTCACCTTCTGCTTTATGAACTCACCGGAAATTGCAAATCTTTTTTTCCTCAGAATAAGTGAAGGGGTGTGAAATATGATGGAGTGGTATCAATTTGCAGCTCACCCGCTGCTCAGATGAGTGGGGATTTTTCAATTCTCATCCTGTGGTAATTTAGCAGATGCTCTAATCCAGAGGGAATCGTGTTTAGTGCAACACTGCAATGAGGTCAAAGTCCTGGTCACATTATTTTAGGGAATCTAAAGATGCATTAAAGTCGTCTGCAAATTGTGAGAAAGTATATAAGTTAACCAGGGGTGTAAATAATAATAAGATGGCTGATTTCTATTTACCTGCTACAGTTTCAGAGTCCTGGTGTTTTGCATCTGTCACATGGTCACATGTCTTACTGGGGACAAAATCTTTGTATGCTATTCAGGTCGGTCACGTTAGCTGGGCTGATTGTTTTTACACTGCACATGTCTGTTAATGGGAAACAAGCAATGGCCATGTGTGTGAGGGACACAAACTCAGAGCAGTTTCTACATGATGCTTAGATTTACTGCATCGGGCTCGGGTTGGGTTCTGAAATAAAAAAACTAAAATTGCTGTCAGGTTTGGGTCGGGCTCGAGTTTAGGTTCAGACAGAAAAATACGACCCTAGCAGAACTCTACTACATATGGGAGAAGAAGAAGAAAAGTATTCAGACATATTGTGAGGGAACGCAGAACTAATCTCACTTCGGCGGCTCTGTTACATCCAGACTGGATCTCTGTCATGGCCAAAGTATGTAAATGGTTTGATCAGCAACTCAAATATTTTTCTATCTCACAAGAACATTCTCAGTGAATTTCAATGAGGCTTCAGATCAGCAGCTCTGCTTGTTCCAGATGTTAAAATTAACTCTTCAGAAATTCCACAGCTCTTTTTACTGATTTGTCTGAAGCGTTCGACTTTGTTAATCATGAACTGCTGTTGTAAATTCTTTTGGTTAAAAGTTTGTCAGTTTCAGTTTCAACAACATTTGAATAACTCGCTCTATAAAGGTAGAAAACTGGTGTAAAAAGTGAACATTGTCACTGAAGGATCTATTTTTGACCCTAATCTTATTTTTTTAAATATAATCAATTGGGAATAAATCTAGTAATGATATATATTTTTGTTGATTACACTTTATTGTTATTTAAACAGAAGCAACCTCCTGGAATTAAACCTCGTCGCTCTCACTGGATAATTTCTCTTCAGTACATCTGCTAAAAATAAAATTGCTCCTAAATCATAATAAAATTTATAATGCCTCCTTCACTCACTCCGTCTAAAGTAGCTCACCCTACAGTGTTGCCTGTTTTAACTAAAAACCTCACTAATACTGGTATTAGATAAAATATGTGACGTGAAACTGGATTCACTCTGCTCTTATTTTACATTATTGTTTGCAAATGTAACATTTTTGGGTTGGTGAACTACAACATCTGTTTCTAGGCTTTTATTCTTTCATACCAGCAACTCTAGCTTTACATCTATTAATCTGATTATTTTCAAACAATATAGATTCCGGTGTGTCTCCTACTATTACATGACAGAGAATGCCTTGGATTAATAGAATATTGTCATAACACAACAAGAACTGTTCCCGTCACAATACATACTTAGTTTTGTCCTCGAAAGGAGAAACTGAAATAGCAGCTGATATAAAAAGTCCCAAACATTCAATTCTTTGAATCACGAGGACAAAACAAACCAGTTGAAGCTGCTCTAAACATTTTGTCACAAAGTGAAACCTTAGTCGTGTGTGTGTGTGTGTGTGTGTGTGTGTGTGTGTGTGTGTGTGTGTGTGTGTGTGTGTGTGTGAGATTTAACACGTAGGCTCACAAGCTGAGTCACCTCTGGATGTAGAAAGATTAAGATTACTCTACAGTGATTTTTATCATCAGAACAATCATTATTTATTTGAAATTGTCTTTAACAAATGCTGTTAAACAGTCAGTTGACTTTTTGCCATTCAACTGGGACATTGAACAAAGCCACACCTCTTTCACACACGTTCTAATGTGATTACGCCACATGATGGATGTGCCTCTAGATGAATGGGTTTAAAATGATCTTTGTGGTTTTTGTGTGTGTCCTCAGATACTCTCAGCCCGGAACTTGGGAAGCGTACCTTGGCCTCCACATCCAGCAGAAGATCGGAAGTGCCGTGGTGAAGAAGAACCTGAAGAAGGTCATTTCGCACCCCAACTACAACGAATTTACCTTCGACAATGACATCGCCCTGATGGAGCTGGACAGTCCGGTCACGTTGTCCGACTACATCAGGCCCATCTGCTTGCCATCTCCGCAGCATGACTTTCCAACCGGTAACACTGTGTGGATCACCGGGTGGGGTGCCACTCGAGAAGGAGGTGAGTCCAACTAATCCATCTGGGTTTCTTGTTGGTGATGTTTTTCATTTGGTGGCAGTCATTGCGGATTTTTAAAAGATGTACAATTGCATCCCCTGCAGGTCAGATAGAGTAATTCATTCCTAAATAGAGAAAAATCATCAAATTACTTTAATCTTTTTAAGCTTTGCTCCATATATCTGTATGTAATTGTGATAATGATGATAATTTGTTGTGAAGTCAAATGTGCCTGTGGTTTAAAAGTGACTATATTATGGTTTGGTGTTGATTTTGAGGTTTTATAAGGCGATGCTCCTTTACTGTTTTCAGTTTTCTAAATGTGCCTGATTTATTCATTTTTATTATAATTCCCTGAGAAATTGGTGAAAACATCAAAAGACGGATCTAGCTGGATCTACACCTAATATAAATAAGCTCTTACCTGACGCGTACCAAGTCATTTTCCAAGTTCCCTGAAATTAATTTAGTAGTTTTTTGTGTAATCTGCCAAATATAATATAGCAGACAATCGATGATGAAAACGTTACATGACCAGTGAAATCAATAACTAATCTTTAATTAAGTCCAGCCATTATTGGATGTTTTAAGACTGTTTGAGCCTTAATCTGATAACATGACATTTATATCCTAAACGTGACATTGTCCTCTGTGTGTGTCTGTGATGCAGGATTTGCTGCACCGGTGCTCCAGAAGGCCCAGGTCCGAATCATTAACCAAACTGTGTGTGATAAATTAATGGGAGGGCAGCTCACCTCTCGGATGTTGTGTGCTGGAGTCTTGACCGGAGGAGTCGACGCTTGTCAGGTAATAAAAAGACATTTGAACCACACGCTGACCTACTTTCTTTATTTTGGTTTGTCTCCGCAGGCTCGTTCTGCATATAAGCATTTTATTAATGGATGTTTTTGCTAGTTTTCTAAAAAATTTTACTTAGCATGGTGTTTGAATTTTTTATTTGTATATAATCGTACTTACTTTAATATCAATGACACAAGTTCCACATTGTCTTCAAACATACTTTAACACATGTCCATGGAAAAAAAATCAAGTTTTTTCCACTTTATTTACTGATTTTAAAAATGAAAAGAGGGAAGGTTAATGGACAGACAAGAAAATAGGAGGAAAATCGAAATTGTGTCCCACACTGCCCCCATGTTGTACCTCTACGTTAACACATATACTAATATGAGCACCTCTATGTGTCGTGTGTGTTTTTAGGGGGACTCTGGCGGCCCTCTGTCCAGTCCGTCTGGCAGCCGCATGTTCCTGGCAGGCGTGGTAAGTTGGGGTGACGGCTGCGCCCGCAGAAACAAACCTGGCATCTACACAACGGTCACTAAATTCCGTGGCTGGATCAAAGAAAAGACAGGAGTCTAAAATCACTGTGAAACAGTCAAACTAGACCAGGGATATGGACATAAACATGTGCTGAGGAGAGGTACCACAGCACAGACTGTTGCCCCAATAGAACATCAGTCTGACTTTCCAGCTGCTGTACGACACTCAGTCAAGCTGATGAGGAAAATGCTTGAAAAGCAATTGCAACATGTCCACTGGCATTTTTTATTTTTACGGTCAGGGTTGATGAAATGTTTTTAAATGTAAATAAGTGTGTCATTTTTTTGTGTTTTGTTTTTATTGTTATTTTAGTTTGTTTTGATGGAGAACAATGTTATCTGCTGCACAATTGGTAGATTTCAGGTGTGATTGTTACACATGTGCACATAGGAAGGGTACGTCCACGTACTCTGTTGTCCTGCATTCTATCAGAAGCCATCATATAAATGTCCCGCCACCTTTTTCTTGTTGTCTTTGTTCTAAATTTTATAAATTAAAGACAAAGTGACAACAAGCTCCTCCCACCTTACCTCCTATGGCTTGGTATCATATGCAGCCATCTCCTCATCATGGATGGTATTTTAACATTTTAACTGTGTGTCTATCAGAATAAAACCCAGAGTAGCATATTGGGTTTTATTTCAGTTTGAATCTTCCGTGTTTCATCTGCTAATGTGACCTTTTCCGACACAATATTGGAACAACGTGTCCTTTTAAAATCTGTGTAAATGTGTATATCAGATGTTTTTCAATAAAATATTTCTAATTTAACCTTCAGCCTCCTTCACATTTTATTTTCATGCCAGGGGCAGATTTTAAACAGGTGTCCAGACCCCACTATCATGTGAAGTACAGAGATGTTTAATGTAATAATAATGTTGTAATTGTAACAATAAAAATTTGAAATGTACAACAGTGAGGAAAGTTTTTTGTAGCTTATGTTATTTGCCAAACTTAATAGAAAAAGAGCCTGAGTTTTAAATAAATTCTTTATTTTGTAATTAACACCAAATCTACCTTTTGGTAGACCCATGAATATTGAACACTGTGTGTGGCACTAAACCAAAACGCATAAATATGAGCCTATATTTTACATTCATTTAATTAATCATGTTAACTTGTATTTATTTATTCATTCACTGATTTATTCGTTTATCAGGGAGAGAAAATTCACACCGGAACGATGAGTTCATAAACAATCCGGAAGACTTTAGAGAAGGGAGCGGATACGGTCCCACCATGTTATTGTTCCCCTATTCTCCTCAGAAGCTGCAGCTGGATTTGTCTTTAGTTTTATCTGTATCTTGTCCTGATGTGTTTTGTTTAAAGTTATCAGCTTTTTTAGCCTGAAACTAGATAAAGAACTTACCCGCTGCTTGTTTCAGACACGTAACGAGAAAAACGGTTTCAAATGGAGTCTGTAGTTGATTTAATTCATAGGAGACAGTTCATGAATCTCCATCGTGTTTAGGTTTATGTGCCGGACATGTGAGTTGTATCAGCTATTAGTGAGTAAACCTAAATCCTGTTTAGTGACTTGAGATTAAAATGGATCGAGACCGGAGGAGAGACACCCGGAGCTGGGACTGGGACAGCCCGCAGTGCCGAGCCCAGCTGGACGAGGTGTTTTTCCGCAGGCATGACTACATCCAGGCCGGCAGCCCGGAGCACCGGGACTTCTGGAGCTTCTTTGACCGCTTCCAGAGGTTTAAAACGAAGCGGGAGATGACTGGGGGAGCCGGGCGAAGGGAGGAAGACAGGGACAAGGGAAAGACTGTGAAGGTAGATCTGGGTCTTCCTAAAGAATATGATGCTCGGTACCGGATCAATGTGTCGGTTTGCACGAGGGACATCGAGGAGCGCCTGGGGAAGTCAGAGCACAGGAGCCGGCAGAGATCGTCGGGACCGGGCGAGCAGGAGATCTCAGACTGTCGCCTGGCTCTGCTCCACTTCCTGGACTTCATCCAGAGGCAGAGTTTCGGTAAACTGGCCAAACTGCGGCGGGAGCAGAAGAACCTGCCCATCTTCCAGTACCGGGACCGGATCGTGGAGCTGGTGCGGAGACACCAAGTGGTCGTGGTGGCAGGAGACACCGGCTGCGGGAAATCCACCCAAGTACCCCAGTACCTGCTCTCAGCGGGATTCACCCACATCGCGTGCACTCAGCCCCGACGAATCGCCTGCATCTCCCTGGCAAAGAGAGTCAGCTTCGAGAGTCTCAACCAGTACGGCTCAAAGGTTTGTCATCAGCTTTGCACCAAACAGACCATGGACACATTTAATGATAATAATAATTCAATAACAATTAGACATTCATCCAACACATAGGAAAACTAGAATGTCACTCAGTAGAGAACACACCTCCACCAAGGCCCATCACTCCCCTTGAATTCTATCAAGCTGCACCACATTTCACACACTAATAAATATCAGTCTCCTTTATATGCCAGAGTTTTTTCATCAAGTTCACATCGAAATTGTTCAAAAATATCTTGTATCACAATGTTAGAGAAAGTGAATCTGCACCAAAAATGCAATGGGTTCTTCCCTGAACCATATCACAACCTTCCACCAAGTTTCATGGAAATATGTTCAGTAGTTTTTGTGTAATCCTGCTAAAGTTAGTTAGGATCATGAAAGTGTTTTTGGAAATAAGCTACAAGTGAGAAATTTAAACACATCACAGAGGAAGACTAGTGCCACATTTAAGGAAAAATCAAATAGACAATACATACACAGTAGAAATAGAAAATTAGAAATATTATTTACAGCAATGCTTTAACTCTGAACCTCATTTTTAGGTGGGGTACCAAATCCGCTTTGAGACCACCCGTACCCTGGCCACCAAACTGCTGTTCCTGACAGAGGGGCTGCTGCTCCGACAGATCCAGCAGGACTTGACGCTCTCTCAGCACCAGGTGGTGATTTTGGATGAGGTCCACGAGAGACATCTCCACTGTGACTTCCTGCTCGGGGTCCTGCGCTCTCTTGTGGCTGAACGTCCAGACCTGCATCTCATCCTCATGTCAGCCACCATCAACATCAAACTCTTCTCGGACTATTTCAGTAGCGCTCCGGTGCTGCAGGTGCCAGGCAGGCTGTTTCCTATACAGGTGAGCAGTGGCGGTAACCATCACATACCTGTATCTAATCACAGATGCAAATGTCTCACCAGAAGAAATTTGTTTTCTGGGCTTTGAGGTTGGCCTGATCATAGACAATAGCAGTGTTGGATGTTACCTTTACTTTAAGAAAAAAGTGTTGGTTTGATTTTTGATGCAGCCACAAAGGCCCCAAAACATTTACTCATTACAATGGAAAAATATGTTTTTAGTTGTCATTCTTGTTAATAAATAAAACTCATTTATTTTAATATAGTCTTGTGGTCTGTCTTTAATTACACATTTTAATTACCTCCTGTCATACAAAATTGAAGCATCAGAGTAGGAAATTATGTTGAAAAGTAACATTTTAAGGGTTTTGTGAATTTATTAAACATATATTTTTAGTTGCATTCACCATTTCTTTCTCTTTTCCTGCACAAAGGTTATATACCAGCCCATTCCGCCCGAGGAGCAGCCCTCCCGCTCTGAGAAACTGGATCCCAGACCGTACCTGCGCATCCTGCAGGGCATCGATCAGCGGTACCCGCCAGAGGAGCGCGGCGACCTGCTCCTCTTTCTTAGTGGTGTGGCGGAGATCTCCACCATCCAGGAGGCCTGTCAGATTTATGCCACACACACAAGTCGATGGATAGTCTTACCACTGCACAGCACACTCTCTCTGGCCCAGCAGGATAAGGCACAGTCAGCTTTGTTTGGATTAGAATGGACATGTAATGTTTGGATCTGTGTTGTTGTCTGTAGTTTACCACTTCTAAGTCTGTGTTGTTATGTCACCACTCAGGTGTTTGACATTGCTCCTCCTGGGGTGAGAAAGTGTATCATCTCGACCAATATTGCTGAGACATCAGTAACTATCGATGGGGTTCGCTTTGTTGTCGACTCAGGTATGTAACTAGTTGTTTATTCATAGCTGCAAATTAACCTTTTAAAATTAGCTGGACCCACCAAAGAGTCCATCCAAATCAGAAAACTATCTAGTGAGAAACACAATGGTTAGAGATACCATCTGTCAAGCTGAATATTTGTGGAAAGCATGTTTCTTTTATCTTTAAAGAAATTGAAATATCAAACAAAGTCTCCCAGAATCAAAAACAACAACTTGATGTATTTTGATTTGTTCTTTTAATAGGAAAGGTAAAAGAAATGAGTTTTGATCCGAAGGCCAAGATGCAGCGTCTTCAGGAGTTCTGGATCAGCCGTGCCAGTTCTGAGCAGAGGAAAGGTCGCGCCGGTCGCACAGGTCCAGGAGTGTGTTATCGCCTATATGCAGAGTCTGACTACGATGCCTTTGCACCGTATCCCGTGCCTGAAATCCACAGGGTGGCTCTGAACTCCCTCATTCTCCAGGTATCCAGGAAAGCAATTCATTTTAACTCTTCAACTTCCAATGTTGAATTCCAGCTTTATTTATGTTGTTTTCTTATTTCTTGCAGATGAAGAGCATGTGTCTTGGAGATCCACTTTCTTTTGTCTTCATTGATCCACCTCCAGCTGCGAGTATCCAGACTGCAGTAACTTATTTGAAAGAACAGGGGGCGCTAGACAGTCCTGGGGAATTGACCTCTATTGGGAAGTTGCTGGCACAGTTACCCGTGGATGTGGTCATAGGTAAAGAACAAATCAGTGGTTAAATGAAGTTCCTAAAACAACAAGTTCATTTATTAGCACCATTTACACTTGGTCGCTGTCAGTTTAGTTCTGCACATACAGTTGCAGCTTTATATTTATATTTGTGTGTGTTTGTGTTCATTCAGGGAAGATGCTGGTCCTGGGCTCTTTGTTTAACCTCATGGAGCCTGTGTTGACAGTAGCAGCCGCCCTCAGCGTTCAGTCACCATTCCTGCGCAGCTCACAGCACAATCCAGACTGCGCCACTGCCCGCCAGCCCCTGCACAGCAACCAGGGAGACCCCTTTACTCTGCTCAGTACTTTCAATGCATGGGTGGAGGTCAGCAATGGAAAACATTATGTTACAGTGACTTTTTAACATGAACAGATTTGTAACAGTGGAATATAAGATCTGATTTTCATTGTAGTGTAAGTGGTTCTTATTTGAAATCAACAGGTGAAGAAAGAGAGAGGAGGTGGCTCTAGGAAGTGGTGCAGGAGGAGAGGCTTGGAGGAGCAGCGACTGTATGAGATGGTCAACCTACGCAGGCAGTTCAAGGCAGGATATTCACATAGTGGCTCACACAAGTTTTAAATGTGTTGAGATTGTTTCTCATTACGAGCTTCCTCTCTGGATAACAGGACTTGCTGAGGAGCCACGGCCTCCTTGAATCGGAGAAAAGAGCTGCCTCTGATGGGGATCGTGGACAGCGCAGGGAGAGGCTGACCGAGAGGAGGAAGCTGCACCAGCTGAAGAGAGATCACGAGCAGCACGAGAAAAGCAAACGGAAAGTCTTGAGGCTGGAGGAGGGCCAGGAAGGAGAGATGTCCTCAGGATCAGACACAGAGGAAAGAGGCAGAGGCAAGAAGGACAAGGAGGGGTCAGGACAGAACATGGACATTCAGGTGAACTCAGAATACAGTGTACCCCTCACCAGCAACATTCACAGATTAATACATTAATATAAACTCTATGTTGCAATACCATCTAATATAAACTTCAGCAACTGCTGAAGAATACTGTATGTACACATTCTT